AAGCAGAGAAGAGCTCTTGTTAACTGCTCAGTGGAAATCTTTGCTCCCTGGAGCAATTCAAATGTCACCTGCAAAACAGGAGAGATTAATACTATAGAAATGCAAAGATTAATACTATAGAAATGCATCTCTGGTCTGAAACTCTTTCTAAATATCCCACTGCAAAACTCACAGCAGAAATTCAGGAGTGCAGGCACAGGTGACAACAATTAGAAGCACAGAAATATTTCTGCAAAAAAAAAAAAAAAAAAGAGGTGAAAGCTCAGTTCTCACTGTCAGGCAGAGAAGAGACAAATCTAGAGTTTTATGACAAGACATTCAAAGTACTGAGTGTGTTTAGAAGAGTAAATTGGGTCCTTATCCATCCTCTTGTCATAAAAAGCAGCAAGGAGGGACACTCAATTACACCGAGAAGCAACATGTTTCAGCTGCAAAGGGGAAATTATTTTGTGGCACTTAACTCCTGAAACCAGTTGCTGCAGCTTAGAGCATGTGGTTAAGAACAGCTCAGTGGACTCTTGGAAAGGCAGGAATATTCAGGAGTGCACATCTTCGTGCCACCTAACTTGACTCAAAAATCACTTCAGGCTGGCCTAGGACTTTAAAAGCCTGACCTGCTGGAGCTGGGCTCAGCAAGACACTGCTCAGCAGAGCACACAGCAAGGGACCTGGAAATGCACTCATCTGTGCGGGAGCAAGTGCTGCCCGGCCTCACAACATGCTGCTCACCAAAGAGACAGAGCACGAAGCACAAGAGAGAAACCTTCTTGGTGCTTTAGTTCCCTCTCTCTGGTCCCTTTGTGATCTTGTGACTTGGACAGTCTCGCTCCCTGCTCAGCTCCCACAGGGAAGAGCTCACTTATTAAATCTTGAGGTGACGGCAAGCTGCGAGGGATGGCAATACTGCAGGACAGAGTCAGCATTCAGAATGACCTTGACAAAGATGCCTATGGAAAAAAAATGTACAGCTCACTGAGGATGAAAGGAAGTGATTGCACGCAGTGAGGAATAATCAATTGCAACTTTGCAGCAAAGGGGATGGGTAACTGTAGACAGTCAAATATCATAATGTTGAGGAGAAAACAAAATACAATGTGGAATGAAAGAAACTGTAGAGGCTGTTACATGGGAGGGGTTGCATTGCTGAATATAGCTAAGGCTTCATGTACAGAGCAATACAGGGGAAGAAAGAGGGGAGCAACCAGCAAAGAGGAATGGCAGAGATCAAGGAAAGTTGGAACTCTGAATGAAGTGGGGTTGATTTGCAAGAAGGAAAGTGTGAGGTGAGGAATGATAAAATGCTTCATTTCAAACTCACCATTCCTGTCAGCATTCATCAATGCCTGTGTTTACTTATTTGCTGGGATTTCAGAGTTGAGAGGTGATCCCAGTATGTCTACTTGTTGCTCATATGGCAATCATTCTTAAAACTTACTTACCTGTTCCAGACAACTCCCACATTGCAATTGTCATTCCTCTACCTTATTAAACAGGGTACAAAAGTATCTTTGAGCTGGACTGCATAAACTGTCTTTATTGCTCTGATAGATTTCTGCACTGAACTAGAAGGAGCTACTAAGTCTCCTTCAGTCATTTCTGGATCAACTTTTTCCAGTGTACAAAACCAAAAATGTGACTGATTTTATAGCAGGTTATGATTCACCACCTAAAGTTTTGACATTTCTCTGGTGCAAAGAACCTTGTACACCAAACACCATCTCCCTGTTAGGCTTCAACCTCCTGAAAGATCAATAGAGGAAGTCTGAACAAGAACATAAGGCAAACTTGAAATAAAAGAATTCTGGATATATTTACTACAAAACTTCTGCACCCCGGGATTACTACACAACCATTCAGATAGTACCTGCTGAATCATGGCACTGAAAGATGTGTACACATAAATACAGGTTTCTGGAGTACAGCTGTCTAAACATCCACCAGAAAAATACCTGAACATCGACTAGAAGTCCAGTAGATAATGCCAAAATGTAGAACGTGCATGATCTGACCTCAGAGCACCCAGATGCAATTATGTGTGATCCATCCGAAAAGAAGCTCTGTACAGTCTGCATAGTTCCACAGACTATGTATAATCTCAGATTATAACACAAATTCACTACTCTGTGACTTCCAAAAGAGCAGCACTTGGCTTCCAAGAGGACAACGGTGTTTAGGAATTGCAATATTGGGACTGGTCGGCAGAGGGCAAGGCCAGCATCAAATGTGGGATATTCAAAGCAGAGGCGCTTGGGCCCTATCCCTCTCCATGGTACGCTGGGCTTGACCAGCTCGGGTAGTGAACAGGTTCAGACATTGTGCATCCCTTGTGCTCACCAAAACAAGACTCTCTGAGGCCATAACTTGGGATGTTTCCTCTCCTTACAGAGAAGGTGAAGGTGACAAGCTTATAAACACACAAATCTCAGTGCAGAGTGAACTACAAACACCCTGCACAACCAAGACATCTGTCAACAGCATTCAGTCAGTCCTCTAGACAGGTAAAAGAAGAAGAGCTTTTCCAGGCATCATTTCACCCCCGTGCTTCCATCTGCTCACCACTTCATTGAATTGTGGAGCACCATGTACACACTTTCTCTAACGGGTGTTATTGAAGACATCTATTTTCCTTGACACCCTGGCGCCATGGTGTAACTGAGTTAGGAAAGTAACACCACATCAAGACAAATGTGTTTTGCAGCATCAGTAACAAGACAGATGCCAGAGGAGCTGTGTTTTGAATGGGTTTTTTTGCTTTGATTTGTAACCAAGTCATATACCAGCCTCAGCTACAGGTGACTGAGCTAAGTTGAAAACTATACCATGAGACATGAGAACTAGTCATCTGCAAAAGTACCATGCAATTAATGTCTTGTTTCATCAAAGTAAACGAGCACTTCAGTGATCAAGAGAACAAGCAAAATTATTGCTATTGTATTTGAGGTTTGAAGAAGCTCTCCTATACTGTATTACATGAAAGAAAGTTTTTATCACAATTTCATTAGAATGACCTAGGAGCATGATTTCCATACTTACAAAGCACTTTATTAAACAGGGGCCTACTTGTGGGTATGAAGCTAAGCATCTTCACTACTAAGGTAACACCTTTCTATGTTCCCCCTCTGTGAAAAAGGGTATGGCTACTTAGCCTCAACATTTTGCTATGATATTCTGTGCATTTCTGTTCAAAATCATCCACAGTGCCTATTAATCAACCTGGATACAGCCCCAACTTTCCAACAAAGCTAAGTGCTCATTATCTGGGCATTTGTCTGAACTTTTCCCCAATGCCTCTGTTTAGAACAAATAATGATATAAATGACAATAATAGACCAGTAATAGTTGTTGAGTTTACCTTATAATCCAATAAGACACTTCATCATTGAAAAAATCTTATTTTCTGATTACATGAATGCATCAGTATTTATCAGTGTAATTACTGCTACTCCAGTAAATGTCTAAGTACTCCTCAGCATATGTTTTGCAAAACCAGGTGCCAATACTAAGTTCTGCATTTTTCCACTCTCAGAGTGGCAACACCTCTAAGGAAAAAAACCAAACCCACAATAAACCAACTTTTCTCCTTGTTCTAGCCCCAGGTTTCTGAGGATCTATAATTTCACTGTTGATGGGTTGTAAGGCAGCGGTGAAGAACCATAACTGTTTACTTCCTCTTCAGCAGCAGAACATTTGATCTGTTGGTGGCCCCTGCCAGGGCTGGTTGAAAGCTCAATGAGCTGCATTAACTTTTAACAAGCGTTGTGGAAGAAAGAATATGTCTAGAAAATATCAGTAGTGCTGTTGTGTAAGTAACAGGACAGCAGGTGTAAATGCAGAGCCAGAACAGCCAGAAAGTATCCTAACATTCTTCTTGCTTGACAAGCTTTATAGTGTAAACAAAAGAGTATCACCCAGTTCTTCCTGCCAAAAAGGGAATTACTCTTTGCTTTATTCTATTGTGAAACGCTACCTCACACAAAATTTACATTCACTTCCTGCTGACATTTATGCTGCTCTTTCCTTCATGTATCTATCTCTTATTCTATTTTTACAGCATTTTCATCTCCATTCTCACATCTCGCTGTTTTTCACCACTTCAGAACTATTTGTCTCAACAACAACTTCTGCTTGACCCTTTTCTCTGCCTGCTGCCCCAGCACAGAGCATCCTGATACAGAGGAAAAAGGCAGTGAATATGCTGTGAGGAAGAATATGCTATAAAGCAGATACCAAAGCAAGCTTCCTTTGAGAGGACCTGTTGCTTGTTAATTACAGTCAAAGTAAATTAAATGCCCCTGAATATAGGAGGGTCATTTTATTTTTTAAAGATGCAAAAACAAATATTTTTAAAAAATTATCAATCCATAGAAGAAAACCAACAGACTTTGGAGCGGAGAAGGGGGAGTAGACCCCTTCTCACATTCTTGATGACTTTGTACAATGGAAAAACACTGAATTTGTCATCTGTTTTGAGAGAATACATGGCTCCACCACTTTCTGCATGCTTTGCCCTGATAGAGACTGACTGTAATGATGGAGCAAATGCTCACTGCAGTTTTATGAGCAGTAAGGCTTTAAAGACACAAGGTTACTAACCTCTAAAGCAGAGTTATCCTCTGAGACACTGAACTAATTGCATGATGAATCTGTGCTAGATGGAAGAAAAGTTGACAGGAAAAGCAGCATGTGTCTTGACTCCTCTCCCTGCTTCACAACACTTACCTGCAACATGTTTTCAAAAGTAAGCATGTAAGCACTGGACTTTTAAAAAAGTTACTCAGGTGCTGTGCTCGGCTATTTTTTAAAATTTCATTTTCTGTTCTTCCATTCATGAGAAAGGAGAAAAGGAGACCAGTGTTGCATTCCAGAAACTTTATTACACACTTTAAAAATGCCTTAAAATTTGTAGGCAAAATCCTTGACAAAGAAGTAAACACATACAAATTAGTGGTACTGAGCCCCAGCATCCATAGGTGCACAGACCAGACCAGGAAAAGCAAGTCTCACTGGCTACCACCATAGTCTTGAGAAGCAGCAACACTTCCACTAGTTTTCTTCGGAAGGAGCTGAGAAAGGATATTTGGCATAACCCCGCCCTGAGGAATGGTCACACAGGCAAAGAGCTTGTTCAGCTCCTCATCATTTCTCACAGCCAGCTGAATGTGCCTGGGCATGATCCTTGTCTTCCTGTTTTCATGGGCAGCGTTGCCTGCCAGCTCCAGGACCTCTGCCGTCACGTACTCCATCACTGCAGCCAGGTAGATGGCAGCGCCAGAGCCAATCCTGTCAGCGTACTTCCCTCTCTGCAGGAGCCTATGGACACGGCCCACGGGGAACTGCAGACCTGCCCTGGCTGATTTGCTTTTCTTTAATGCTCTTCTAGGGTTGCCAGCCACTGTGTGTTTCTTTCCACGTCCAGACATTCTGACAGGCGAGGAGACACAGAGGGCTGGAGATCTTCAAAACACTTGGGCTACAGCTAATGGACAGCAAGAGGAGGCAACAGCAAGGTCAGTTCTGCTCTTCCACATCAGTGAGAAAGCTCGTGCTTGTCCTGAGGAAAGAGCTCACCACACACCACAGTTCATCAACAGCAGGGCTAAAATTTTAACAGTTATTACCCTTTTACAGCCTGCCTTTTAGGAAAAGGATCACATCGCAAAACCTATCAAGGGTTATTGAAGTTAGATATGAAGGGCTCAAAAGAAGACAGGCTTTCCCCTGCTACTTGGAGTGTATTTAGGATTGAGGCACAGTGGGTTTTCTTTAGCAAGATTTTTTTAAACACCACAACTGTTACCTCAAAGCTAACTTGAGGCCTGTCTCTTCTTTCAAGAGCAATCTGCTCTTGAAAAAAAAACTTGTACTATCAAGTTACAACTTCCCTCCATTTCAAATCTAAAAATGGAAAAATTCTTGCAGCCTACAGCTTGTTATACCCAAAATACCCCAGGACATTTTCATACATAGCTTTAAATTAATTCCTTAAGTGGTATTCTCTGGCTTTTATGAGACTACTACTGGAGGTCTTCAGTATCAGGAGCATGAATTGATTTGGACAGCACAATGCAGATTGAAGAATAGAAGTTACCATCTACTTCCTCATGATAAAGAAAATTCACCCCAACTAGAATACTCTTCCAACTGGAGTAGCAGAACTACTCATTTAAATAATATTTCTAGTCTGTAAGTAGAGAACAGTTAACTTCCAGCACAGCTGTTTGCAACATACAGGAACACCCATCACACATTAATATGCAGGGCTTTTACAGAGAGGTTTAACTATTTAAGAAAAATTAGAATAAGCTCTGAAAAGAAGGTGAAAAAAAGTAAAAATTAAAAAAAAAAAAAAACAAAAACACAACCAAAAACCAAAAAAACAACCCAGTCCCTAATAAAGTCCAAGCAAACTAAGCCCTATATCCTTATCCCTATTACCAAACAATACTTTTTCTAAATAATTCACAGTACAGTCATACTGTATAATAGAGGCAGCTAACTTACAAAATAACATGAAGCCCACAACCCCAAATCTTCCACAATACATTATAGATGAAAAGTACATCACATTACCTTCAAAAAGTCTTATTTTTTTCCCCAGTCTGTGCCTTGCTACAACCTGCACCCAAACACAAACAAGCCACGTAACACCTTTACCCCGGGCCCAGACTTTTTATTAGCAACTTTTTCTCCTCATCAGCGGGTCACCTGGGTAATTAATGAATCATTTACACACGTGCTTCATCTTCCTTCACCTAATCCCTGATTTGGGGCAAAAAAAGAAATACATCACAGCTGCTCAGCAGCAAATTGGCTGGGGTGAGGGAGAAGAAGGCAGGCTGCCTGCAAGGGCTGAGCCATAGCTACATTTCAGCCTCACTGTGGCACTGCCAGTTCTCTCCCACTGGCTGGAGTATTTCTGTCTGCACGCTATGTGTAAAAGCAACCCTCTTCTTCCTGTTGAAGCTTGATAAAAAAAGTACATAGGGAAAATGGGCTTTGTAAATATATTTTTAGTTGGGTGGGAGGGGGAAACTGTTTTGCTTTAGATGTGTCCTGGGTAGAGTCATGCTTTGTTCACAATGTGTCTGAGTCTCACCAAGTGATGTGATAGGGCTGCTCCTAAGATTTAGGCTTCTGCCCCCTCTTCTGGTAACTGAAGATGGGGCTCAGGGTTTACTGTGGCTCTGGTGCTGAGGGTGCTTGGCTAGTTCCTCTTTGTTCACCTGGGCAAAAATCCCACCTCAGGCAAAGGAATATTTTTGAGCAGCCTTTAAAGAAATGAGTGCTCACTTCCTGCTCATGCTCTTTCTGTGTTTATTTCCTGGCATTCAAAGTGGTTTCCAACCAGCAACATACAAGAGCCATGGCTGTGAACGGTATTTCAGCCACAGAAGTTGACTGTTAAAACCAGAGGGTACTCCCAGAAGCCCAGGCTCTGGCAAAATACTCAGACAACAAAACTGTCATGAACAGTTCAGCCTTTGTTTCTGCCTGCCAGACACCAGATGTGGGTCAGAGCCTCACAGCACCTGCATTTGTGGCACTCACCCACTTTTCCTACAAGGATGAGCATTTAGTCTAAGCTGGGTGAGGTTGAGTTTCCTGCCACCTCAGGGCATTGAACAACCAGTATGGGGTACCCTCTGCATGTCCAAACTGATGTCCTTTCAAAGCACAGCTGTCCTCTTCTCCTAATTCAGAGGCAGAAAAGGTGGCTGTGCCTTCCTTTCAATAACTCAGACTTAGCACAGGGAAAGTGGCCAGCCCACTTCAGAATAACTGACTGTTAATGGGATGCCCACAACCTGTGGCAGTGGGATTTCTAAATTTTCATTTCAGGCCCTTGCCAGAGCTGAGACAGTCCTTCTTCCACATATTCAAGCACACTCTTAAGGCCTGCTGGCAGGTTCTTTAGGGTTCTTTTATGAGGACTGAGATCTGGGTGAGTCTGAGATCTGTCCATTAGAGAACAGAGAATAAAAGGGGGAGAAGGGAGGCAGGAGCAGGTCTCTTCCCTCTGCTGTGTGTCTTTGAAAAACAAGCTGAAAAGACCTGGTTATTTCTTTGAAAGGGAGGCCTAGGTGCCTGTTTGTATGGAATGGGGTATGACCCCAAATGGATCTGGGTCACCACATCTGACACACTTTTCAGTGTTTTCTGAGTGATACTTTAACACAGACTCAAAACTGAAATAAAAGTAACTATCAAGAGACAAATTTCTGATAATATCAGTTGGCTATGATCCAACCATAACAATATGACAAGGACAGCTGATTATGCCTAATAAGAATAGATAATATAGGCTTGATTGCTTATTTTATTTTATTTTTTAACAGATCAGGGAAAGAAAATAAGAAGATAAATCAGTAGGGAAATAACACAGGGTATGAAAAACAAACAGACAAAAAAGGCTCAGTGAAGTGGAAACAAAAGTTACAGGGAATCACAGAAATAGACTGGGAGGGACCACAGTGAGTCACCGGTCCAACATCCCTGCTAAAACATGGTTTTTCTATGTTAGGCTGGAAGGGGCTTGGAGCATCCTGGTTTACTGGAAGGTGTCCACGGCAGGGGGAGTTTCGATCTTCAGGGTGCCTTTCAATCCAAACCGCCCTACGGCCCCTGACGGCCCGAGGCCTCCCACCGCCGGCACCGTCCTTATTAGGCGCTGCTGAGGCTGTTCAGCCTGGAGAGGAGAAGGCTTGGGAGAGAACTGTAGCACCCACCTTCCAGTGCCAAAAGGACTGAAAAAAGAGCTGGGGAGAGACTTTTTAGAATCATAGAATAGAACCATAGAATGTCCTGAGTTGGAAGGGACCCACAAGGATCACTGAAGTCCCAACTCCTAATGGCAATTCCAACTTTACAAGACCATGGAGTGATAGATAGGACAAGGGGGAATGGCTTTAAGGTGAAGGACAGTAGGTTTAGATTACATATTAAGAAATTCGTTGCTGTGAGGGTCATGAAGCACTGGAACAGGTTGTCCAGAGAAGTTGTGGATGTCCCATCGCTGAAAATGTTCAAGGCCATGTTCATGGGCCTTTGAGCAACCTGGTTTAGTGGAAGATGTCCCTGCCCGTGGCAGGAAGGGTTGGAACTGGGTGATTTTTAGGGTTCCTTTCAACCCAAGCCATTCTATTATTCTAAGATAATATTTTTAAAAATACACTGCATGCCTCTTGTTAATCTGTCTTTAGAGTAAATAAATTCTGTTGTACTGATGAGAGTTAATGGGTGTTAGTCCTGGAATGAGGTTTTTGCTGATTTAATGTTTCTTCTATTCTAGTGAAAACTTATGAGGACATGACTCTGGAAGAGCTAGAAGAGAATGAAGATGAATTTAATGAGGAAGATGAGAGAGCTATTGAAATGTACAGGTCAGAGCAGCTTGAAGAATTTGGCTTTAATGATAATTGGAGGGTCTTTCTTTTATATGCTTTTAGATATTGTTGAAGAGAAAGGATGTTTTTAGGATGATGGAAGAAGGGGGTTGTGGTTTTGGCTCTTGTGGAGCTTCTAAGTGTCTTTAAAAGGATAACAGTGTTTGAATTCAGTATCCTTTATCTACAGCATAGCTTTGCAGAGATAATGTGCACCTGCTGAGTGTATGGCCAGGGATCCTGAGAGCTTTGAAAATCACCTCCAGTATTTTCTAATTTTTGTGTGAATGAGATTAAGGTGCTGCAGATTTGCATAATTAGTGTTGGTTTCCCTCTATCTTGTAATGTCTCTCATGACTTTTGCCATTTAGTTTGGTAGTGTATTATCTGGAAAAGAAATGTCTAGTGAGGCCAGAAATGAGGAAAAAAAGTATTTCACAAAACACAGATTTACTTCTTGCATGTGGCTTTAGCCTATGATGCAAATACAACAGCATGTACAGTGTCATTTTGCTTTTATTGCTCTGGGGTTAGAAGAAGTTTGTAACTTGTCTCTGAAGTCTAGGCCTCAACCAGCTCCTTCAAGTTATGTTCTGTCAAAAAAATGCATCTATTCACAAGATGTCTTTTTCATTCCTGGTTATTCAGGCAGCAAAGGTTAGCAGAAATGAAGGCAGCTCAAATGAAGAATAAATTCGGGGAGGTTTTGGAGATTTCGGGAAAGGACTATGTTCAAGAGGTTACAAAAGCTGGAAAAGGTATATGGGTAGTCTTACACCTCTACAAACAAGGGTAAGATTTTCTTTTTAAACCATTAAACCTTGCACTGTCAATTTCTGGAAATGCTCCAAGGTAATTGTGTAGTTATTGTGGAACTAAGGACTAATTTTTGAGTTCTAAGAAATAAAAACAAATTAGTAATTTTAATACTGTTGAGTCAAGATTGCTGCACTTTATTCTAAAATGATGTTACCATGGCTTTTTTATACATCTCTGCAACACAGCAAGATGTGTACCATACAGCTTCCATAGAGGTAGCTGCTGCCACTGAAATATCCAAGCTCTGGAAGTTATTCTGGATCAAATGCAAGGGGCTGTGAATAGGAAGGATCAATGTGTATTTAGCTTGGTTTCTAGTGGCATACAAATGGAGAGAGCAAGGTTTGCAGTCCTGTCACCATGACAGAAGATCTTGTCAGAAAGGTCTGTTAACGTAGCTAGATTTTTTTTGAAAGGTTATAAATACTTGCTGTTGTTCTTTGTCTCTAATTGCCTCATAGGTGTTGATCATCATTTGCATACCTTCTTCCAGGAGCAGTTTTGTTTTTATTTTGCCCTTGCTCATGCAATTTCTAAGTATCTTAAATTCATAAACCACTTTCCCGTAATACAAAGGGGATAGAGGGGAAGGTTGCATTATTAATATATTAAGACAAAAAACCCACCACACACCAGAATCTCCAGTGGTGTTGATCTCCTCTGAATGCTAGAATACAGAATTTGCTTCTGGTACTTCTGTCTTTGCAGAAAGTCATCGATCTGATATTTCTGACATTTCTTCTGGAGCTGTTTACTTTTTAAGTTGTCTCTTGTTTTCTCCTTATGTGTGTCTGTTGCTGTTCTTCGCAGAATTCCACTCTGTGCCTTAATAAATCAACATATGAGTGGGCTTGCAAAGAAGTTCAGAGACGTGAAATTCATCAAAGCTATCTCTACCACCTGCATTCCCAACTACCCTGATAAGAACCTGCCCACGATATTTGTGTACCTGGAGGGAGACATCAAAGCTCAGTTCATTGGGCCTTTGGTGTTTGGTGGCATGAACTTGACAAGGGATGGTGAGTGTCTGCATCTCTGCTCTTCCAAAGGAAAAGCAAAACTGTATTGCTGGGAATGAGAGAAATGAGGCTTAGGAGAAGGGTGGTACTGAAAATGATATTAGATTTTTTTTTCCCACCCCTATGGCTCAGCCACATGACTGTTTTGTAAAAGCAGTGATAGGCCAACATGTAGGTATTTGTCTTGTGTGTGCAAGTATTTTTGCCCTGTGTTGGGTGAAACAAATTTTGCTGGATATATTAAGGTAAACAGTTCCCATGCATGTTCTTAGGGTGTCTTGGACATGAACGACTGCCCTTGCCTGCAGTGACATGATAATCTGTGCACGTGCCCACTGGATTGCAGGGCTCCTTGTTTCATTTTTAAGATGATGGCATATGTTTGTCTGTTGTCCCTGACTGAATCATCTTAATTCAGTCATCACAGAAAGCTGTGTACTGAAATTTTGGCACTTTTATATCTTCCTTCTCCCCTAAGCACATGTGCCTTCCACTGAAGAGTAAAGAAAGTGTGAGGTTGTGCTCATTATTCTGTAATATCTGAAAGAAATTAGATTTGATGATAGGATTGTCAGCAGCAATAGGAGAACGGTTTCAACTGAATGTGTTGTATTGACTTTCTACCACTTCTGGGAAGCAATCCAGTCCAATTTGGGCCTACTGTGGGTGGTGAAGTCTCTCTTTACTGTCCAAAGGAACTAATATTTAGTGATGTAGAGGCAATGGGGTGAATCCTATTTACAAAGTACATCCATGGAAAATACCTGTAATTGAGATGTGTAAATGAAATTTCCACAATTTTTTGCCCTTTATTAAATTTATTCCCTGCCTCTTCTGATTGTGATGAGCTCAATATATGATGGGAGCAGCTGTAATGTATGAGCAGTATTCCTTCACTGGCAATGGATGTGCAAATATGTTTTCTGCCCTTTGTGGTTAGAAGGAGGTAGAATTCACTGGGAGAGTTGCTTCTAGAGCTGCTGCTCTGTATCCATCACCTCTTTTGCACTCCTGGTTGCAAGGTGAGCAGAGTGGCACTGAGGATGTCACTGGTGGGTACAGAGCAGTACCCTGACCTTTGTGCCCTGGGCTGAGACCTGTGCCAGCACTAGGGACTGGGAAAGGAGGGCTTGGCTGGAGCTGGTGTGGTAAACGGGGCAGGAGCTTGGATCTGGGTATGGAAGAAGAAGAAGATGAGGGCCCTGGTGTGGTGGTGGTGGTAGGATAATGAGGGAAGTCACCTGGGGAGCCAAGGGTAGGCTTTTTCCAGTTTGCTGCCCTACATTCATGACTCTTGTTTTGCACTGCACAGAATTGGAGTGGAAGATTTCTGAGTCGGGTGCTATCAAGACAGACCTTGAAGAGAACCCCAGGAAGCAGATCCAGGACCAGCTCATGTCCTCAATCAGGGCGTGTGTCCCAGCCAGAGGGGAGAGTGACTCAGAGGATGACTAATTCCCATGTCTGCATCCGGATTGATGCAGTGCCCTTGCAGCCAGTGTTCCTGCCTCAAGCACTGGAGACACTCCTCAAGGCCTTGCTGAGCCCCAGAAGGGTAGCCTTTCAAGACATTCATTCTAGAAACCTCTAGAAACTAAAAACATTTCTGTTTTTTAAAAATTGCAGCTTCACTTAAGATGCTGAAAGACATTTTGTATAGTGAAGCCTGAGTAAATCTTACTCAAAGGTTTTAAAATATAGACGTGAATAGAAACAGGTCTCTTGTTATTATTTTCATAGTAATTTGCTACTTTTAAAAAAAATTGAAATATGAAGTGGTCATAAGTGCACTGTTTTTAACAAGCTTAAGTTGTACAGATCAAATCTAAATAGCTGTCTTAAATAATTGCTTATGGCACTTACCATCCCTTAGCCCACTGTGCTCAAACCTCTTACAGCCTGGACTTCACAGAGAGCTGGGGGGTTGGTACAATGCAGGTGCTTCTGAAGGTGGTGTGTGGTCTTCTGCAGAGATGTGCTGGCTCCAGAGAGACAACATGAGGCTGTAAGCTGGGATTCCAGGCATCTTGAGAGGGGCCTTGAGGACGGCCAGCCACTCCTGGATACTGCTGAGTGCCGAATTCTACTTTTGAGTTAGCAGAACTATTTTGCCTTTCAGAAGGGCTGAACTTCCTGTACCATCTTGCCTGTTAATTGCAGAATAAAATTCAAGATGGTGGTGCTCAAGTGTGAAACTGCTGATTTCTTCAACCATATCAGAAGTCAGGTGTTCTTACAGTAGTGCCATTGCCAAATGGAAGGGAGGGTGATGTTTAGGAACTGATACCTTGCTATATTAAAGACTTCCATTTTCCAGCTACAGTAATAATAATAACTGAAGCCTTAGAAGAGCATAAGCTTAAATACCACCTTGATTATAGATCTGCTGACATTTGGAGCTGCTTGATTATTTTGGGTTGGATTTAATGTCCACCTACTCTTTCAGATGGTCTACACTCAGGCTAACAGTCTCCAAGGACTTTTGCTAATGAGGCTGCCCCAATGACATTTTGTTATACTGCTGGTGGATTCTGTGGGTGGATGGTACAATACTCAATAAGCAGCAATACTTAAACAATTTTTTTATTAGTTTGTAGTGACTTTCAAGCATGATTCCTGCACTCTGAGACAAACCAGTGTGTAGTCCAAACAACAGCTAACCATTCCTTCAGGTGAGGATGTAAGATCCTGACGGAGAGCTTCCTCTTTGAGATGTGAATGGTGATTTGAGTTTCACTTGTCTCCTTTCTTTTCTCTTAGGTGTTTTTTGACAGAGTACATAAAATATTAATTTTGTGCAAGTGAGCCAAATGCAGCACAACAGAAGCTGATAGATTCTGAATTTTATTACATAGGAGCACTCTTCTCATGACACGGGACTGTCCCAAGTGCAGACTTGGTGCTTCACTGTGCTCACCTACAACTTCGTACAGTCTAGGAAAAGGATGACTCTTCTCTGAAGAAGTCTACACTGCATATTTTACTTATCTTTTGCTTTTTCACTCTGATTTGTGCTTTTGAGTGACCTCTGATCACATGGACCGCATTCCTTTTGGAAAAACTAGAGGAGAAGCTAGGGGTGAATAAAAAGGAGGGGTGGGACTTCAGACTGTTTCCTTCACAGTCTCTTCTTCCAGCAGGGTCTTAAAACCACAGTTGCCTTCCCCTTTTGTGTGTGGTCTAATGGGGTTTGTGAGCTCTTGGACAACCAAGAGGACTGAGGTCCTGAAGAGGACCAGGGCTGCATATGGATTGTCCCAGGCTGCTTAGCTGTGGGGAAGCAGATATCCTGTGCCTGGGAATGATAACTGTGGCACCCTCAGGCAGCAGTTTTGTCTTTCCTCAAAAAGAAGCAGACCTGATCTGCCTGGGAGGTTTATGCAAGAAACTGCCTTGGAGAGGGGGAAGAGTGCCTGCTCCCTGCTGTCAGGGCTACAGCAGGGGCTGCCTTGCAGTTTCATAGGCAGTTGTATTTTGGAACAGTAATTCAGGAGAAATTGAGATATTTTGACCTCCATCTTTTATCCTCAACTGCTTAATCTGCTGAAATGTTGAGGGATGCCACTGGAGGATGCCATGCTGAAAGGGGCAGATGTGAGAATCATCACAAACTAGAAGAGGCTGAATATATTGCCCAACTGATGAGACCCACATGGAGCATCATTTCAAATGGTATGTATGCTTCTCACTCTTTGGCTAGGTGTGAAAACAGCTTTTTGTAACATTATTATTTTTCCTGCCAATCATATTGCCGTGCTCAAGGCCTTTAGTAGAAATTAGGTCTCTGCAGGAAACAGATAATGAGGTCTGTTTAACCTTTTGGCAGAGCATGAGCTGTGGAAACACAGTTAAGGGAATGAGCTTTAGCTTAAAAGGAAGCTGGCTGCTAAATAGCAAACCAAAACAGCCAATTAATACACATTGCAGAAAGGCGCAATATAATGGGAAAAAATAACTGGAGAGTGTGAGCTCTCATTTGCCAAGGCTTGGGGCACTATTGCTAAATGCACTATCAATATTTTTTCAGCCTGTCAGCAGTTGGTGTCAGATCAGTGCTCACTTTTCATCGGTCTGAGAAGAGTCCTTGTCAGCTATCATGGGAGAAATCAGAGGCAGTGATCCTGTCAGCAGTGCTGAGGCTTGTGTGGGTTGCTGTCCTGCATAGCGCTGTGGGAGCATCCCTGACTCATCCCACACTGCAGCCGTGCCAGTGGGTGGTGGCAGGGGGAGAAGTAACTTTGGGCCGTAGATGGGAGCAGATGATTTGCCATTAGTGGACAGTGAGTCTGGAGTTTTTTGTGTGAAATGTAAGTGCACCACTAGTAATAAAACAGTTCTCTTCATGGTGCTAGTCTGAAGTCTGCTGCTTGGCCAGGCCATGTGGGCAGTTGCATTAGGTTTGTGGCAGGCTGCCCTGATCTGGGTAAGTTGCTGTTCTGATTTTTCTTTCCACCCAGATCTTTTATTCACAATATGAACTCACCAAACCTGCAGGGCGATGTTTTACATCAAATTCACTTGCAGAGGGAGAGCCAGGCGTTGTGCAAACAGGGCAAAGCCGTGGTTAAGCTGCTAGTTCTCCAGGTACTGAATCCAGCCACGTCCCACAGTCAGGGACCTGTGCATAGGTAGAAGCATCTGCAGGACTGTGGCTGCAGAGGGTGAAATAAAGGAGAGTCCATTGAATGGCTATGCTGTCCTGTACTTGTTTTGGCCAGGTCCTCCTTTCCCAGGGCTCAACTCAGCCTCTCCTGCCTCCTCCTTGTGGCTGTCCTATCACCTGCTTTCCCAGATAAGCTCAGGTGGATATTTGGTTGGCCTTGTTGCTGAGAACAATTTAACTCACTGGCTCAGTGGCTCACTACGAGAAAGCCAAGTGTGTGCATCCAGCTCTGTTGGATCAGTGCACAGGATGGGCACACAGTGCTAAGTCACAACTTAGCCTGACAAGTGAACCACTAATATTTGTCTTTGTGGAGTTCATGAAGAAAGTCATTCTGATCTACAGTGATTCTCATGAAAGTTAAGATGCACTTTTTATTCCTGTTTTAAAAACTCAAGTTCAGAATAATTTGTCTTTATGCTCTGGAAATCTGGGGAGGTTAATCTGCTTCCTAGGCAATGAGAAATGAAACTTCTAACAGAAACGTCAGTAACTTGGAGTAGCTCTTCTTTTGCAATGGGAGTGAAATCCCTCACCTTTATATGAACACTTTGCTGCATATTTGTTGGGATTGGATCATGTCTAAAGAAACTTTACTCTTACTGAGATCAAAGGAGAATGCTTCCCTCTCTTTGCTAAAACTAACATATTCCCTGTCAATTGTTTGGAAGGCAGTTGAACTCATTTCTTATTACAGCCTATTATAAATCACTCCTCATTTCAATCTCATTTAGTTAATTCAGTCATCAAAGGGTTGTAGGAGGCATAAAGTATTTTATTGATGTATTTAGCTCTTCACAGAATTAAAAAGAAGTATTGAACTTCTTAGATCTCTTTACTTGCAGATGGCTCTTGTGATGCAGGAAAAAGCTTCATTCCCTCCTGCAGAAGGCAGAACCATTAAAAATGAAAATGAAGCAGCAAGAGACTCTCACCAAGAGATTCTCTCCAGGCTTCTGTGGGAGACTGATGAACAATATAACTTGTTTTCATATACCATGTTAAAAAATTCATCTCTTGACAACATGCCAAATTTTTTAGGACTTCATCATATTAATTTGGATTTATGGAGCTGACTGAAGAAGCTGAGGTCTGATAAAAATGTCAGGAAAATATCAAGTCTGAAGTTGTTTCTATTTAACACTTCAAATGTTAAAATAAGGAGGAAACTATGTGATCTAAGGCAGAACAGTCCCTATAAAAGTTATTAATGGACAATGAGATGTTTGTAATTATGCATATTTGTAAGCCTCTGCTGCAATATGTCTGCTACAAAAAGTAATTCCAGTATTCCATCAAACACAAAGCTGATTCTTGTAAAGGCAAAAGTTACAGCATTTGCTAGTGAGAGCAAGTCTTGGATTTTCAGACAGCCTTTGCCTACCCCCTCAGAATCTGACTCATGCTATAGCATGTGTCATCCTGATCCCCCTCCCCTCAATATCCATGGGAATACTTTCGTTTACAAGGTGGGCAGCAAAGACAGGTACTGAACTCCTTCTTGCATGACTGCAGCTTATCCTTCTGTGAATTAGTACAGACCATTTGGGGGTGTTGGGAAACTTCATTAATTATCTGTCCATATGCAGATGACTTCTGTTAAGCTGAAAGTAGGGATATCCTGGATCCTCCAATTTGGCTGTCACTTCCTGTGGTTTAGAGGTTGGCTCAGGTGATTAGAAGAGAAATTGTGAGGGCTGCCTCCATGGCAGAGAAGCCCAGTAACAGACCCTTGCAGAGATCTGCCACAACATTAAGACATCCACTACAGTCTGAAACAAGAAAGTGCTGGTGATAAAAGGGTGCAAAGTTTTGTGGGATGTAGCAAAAGCAGGAGAACATACAAGGTGTGGAGTTGGGTCTCCTGTCTGGTAGACATCCCCAAACTTCTCCAGCTGAGGTGCATTCACTCTGATTATGCCCATCTAGAAAACTGAATTGTCCTGAGGGATGAGATGTGAACTATATCTTGTGGGGTGAACCAAGTCCAGATCAAAGGTCTCATCCTGGAAGAGCGTGAAGAAGTTTTTTTTTTTCTTGTCTTCCTTCTCCCCATGAGACAAAAGTGAAGGCAAGAGCCCTTGAGAAAGTGGAAGAGATGAAGGGCAAGAGGCACAGGCAGGATGAAAGGAGCTCAGATGGGTAGCTTAGAAAAGCAGTCTGACCATTGCTAGAGCAGAAGGGTAAAGGTGAAGAAGATAATAAAAATTTTAGAGCTTGCATTATGGTGAGGCTTCAGGAATATTTGGTGTTGGGGTAGACTGAGAGAAGCACTGTTCTCAAAAGATGGACTTTGTGTATGTAGCTGGAGACTGTGCAGGATAGGAGAGTGGATGGCAGCATTAAATCACAGAGGGAATTTCATGCAGATCCGTGAGAACTTCTTCCCTTACTTCAGTGTATAGGAATAAAAATGGTAAAGATGCATGCTCTGATCCAGAGAAATGTTGGGGGTGAGCAAGTGAGCACCACTAAGAGCAGAAATCAGGCAGGTAGAATCGATTGGTAAAAAAATAATCATGTG